TTATTGACGACTGTCTTCAGAAGAGCACGCGACCATGGCCGATGGTTCAAGACGGATAACGGAGTGGCAAGCCAATGAGTGGAACGCGTCCGCGAGAGGGATCCGTGAGTTCGGAGGGGCGGGGGGGGTGTCGAGCGGACAGCGCGTGGATGGCAGAGACGCTCTAGAGCAGGGGTGGGGAACCTTTTTTCTGCCAAGGGCCATTTTGGATATTTGTAACATCATTCGCGGGCCATACAAAATCATCAACTTAAAAATTAGCCTGTTATATTTGGTCAAACATTTAATTAACTCGCCTCTAACGTGATGGCTGGAATTGCTTCTCTTTGGCGAGGCGTGTGATGATGTTGGCTGGTATTGATGATGTTGCTACTCGCAACTGCTTTTCCAGGTTTGCTCCTAGATTGATTGAATTTCGAGTCCCGCCTGCGGTTGCCTTGGCAGGGCCAGAGACCCAATGATTTCGCGGGGCCTCATACGGCCCGCGGGCCGGACGTTCCCCACCCCTGCTCTAGAGCCATCGTGGAGGAGCCTTAGACGCACCCCGGCAGTCCAGCCTCAGCAACACGAAACCCGCAGGGAGTTCACGCGAGGTCAGGACACGTTCCGTATAACGCAGAGACAAAGGGGCCACCCGTGTAGCCTTTCACAGACTGCTGGGGCGGCTGCCGTTAGCGAGTAGCACCCGTAAAGGGTGACACGGCACGCGAGGGGAGGGGGGGGGTGGCGGAGGAGGGTTCCACCACCACGCACGGCCGCCCTCTAGTCTCACCAAGTAGCGAGACGTTTGCTCACACAGCACCAGGTGGTCATTTGAGGCCAAGTCGATCTAGGGGAGGCCCAGAGGACCGGCTCAGATAATCGTCGCTGGTGTTGGTGGCCGTGAGCGGGAATAAAAAGATAATAACCTCTCACCAAAATGCAATATCATCTCGAGTCCCGGGCAGTTTAGGCATCTAGTCATTACATTTATTGTGCGCGCTTGCAAACAAATGGTTCTAGAAAATACCTGCACATGATTCCTTTATTTTGCACGTTCGCCCGACCCTCACACATCTATTTATATGCATACAGCAATACCTAGATTGACGTCTCCCACTTTGACGTCGTTTCGAAAATGCGTCGTCACTGTATTGACACGACTTACCTGACTTGCGTCGTCTCGACCCACGCCTACCTCGCTGTCATCATCATCATCATCTCATTTCAGGAACGCATCCATGACGTAAAGCGAGGTGCCACTCTACACAGTTGAATCAGAGTTACACGTGTTGCTGTGCCGTGATGGTTCAGCGGCGCACTGGACTGGCGATACAGAGGTCGCTCGTTGGATTCGATCGCTCCACGCGGCAGTCGAAGCGCACCCCCCGCAACCTCCTCCGTGCTCCTTTGGCCGGTGGAAATCCGCACGCCGCAGTTTTCGTCTATGATCGACCAGTGACGTGCGGTCGCGGTAGCGACGTTGGTGGGGTCAACCGTGGCCACTCCCCATCTCCTCTGAGACGGTCTGGCCAGCGTTGGGCTCTGTCCGAGAGATCAACCCTCGTGGATGCCCTGACCACGAGCAGTCGTGTTGTGGGCGAGGAATTGCAGGGGGTGCACCTTTATCTCTCTCTCTATCTATTTTCTATATCGATACCGACTATCGTCCCAAATTGTCAGGAGTTTGGTGATAAAGCTGCGCGAATCATCGGCGCCGTGTCTGTTCTTTCGCGGGAGCAGCTTGTGGTTTTTTTTTCGTGTCCTATGCTCATGCCAAGTGGAGCACTTTCATTTATTTTTCTAAACATTCCCGTGGGCTCTGAGTGTATTATTACGCTGTTACGACCGCTTTTCAAATGCTCTCTGCGCGTCTTGCCTGTCCTAACGTCCTTGTCAAAAGGCGGTCCCACCCCCCCGCCCTCCCCTGCGCCCCCACGGGCTCTCACGCAATGTAACAACAACAGTTGTTGTTGTTGTTTCCGTCCTCTGTGTTGTGGTTGTTACATTCTCTATTGCACGCCTCCCAGCACGAGTGACGCGTTCGCTAGTGCAACGCGTGACGACGACGCGAGTTCAATTCCCAGCCACCGTTGGCGAGCGATGCCACGAAAACTAACAAAAATAACCGGTCTCGCCATAAGTTGACTCGGCCTCAAATGTTAGTATCTGCCGCGGTGCGTGGACGCACAGAAGCGGTGGCGCGGTTGATTGCTCACCCGAGCTGGGAAACTGAGTTTGAATCCCGGCCACAGTAAAAAAAAATACAAAACGCCAGCGGCGAGTGATATCCGAACAGGGTACTGGGTAAGTGTGCACATATCAGCACTGTGGAGGCAAAGGTGGCCAGGCGTGGCGAATGCCTATTAGGTCAGGCCTTAATAGGTGCTCGCAAACAGCATTTGTCCCAACAGTCTCGTGAAGGCTGTATCGGTGGACCATTGCGTGTGTTTAGTCGGTGAGGGTATACAAACCTCCCTGGCGACCAGACTTTGAATCCCGGAACACGGCTAACATCACCGGCAAGCGATGTCACAACTTGCCGTTGGCCACCCCCTAGGTCGACTCAACCTTAAATGGGTATCTTGGTGCAATGGGAAAGCATCAGCAGCTGGCGGTATTTGTGAGACTTAGGGCATCGGGGGTTCGTTGCTGAGCACACCATCCATATAGGTTCCGCCCTTAATAGGTGCTCGCTAACAGCACCTGCCCCAACAATTTTATTCGATGGAGTATAGACTACGTGGCTGTGGGGCGGGTTGTGAAACAGTAATCGTTTGTCTTTCGTGCTCGTAGTAAACCCAAAAAAATACAAAGATCCCCCCTTTAACCTTAACATACTGTTGGGACGAGTGCTGTGAGCGAGCACCTATAAAGGCCGCCTTTGTTTCCCCAGTAGCGATGTTTTTACAAACCGCACCAGGTACTCATTTGAGGCCAAGTCGACCTAGGGGAGACCCAGGACCGGTTCATGGAACTCGGGTGGCCGGGTTTGTAGCACAGCGCGCTAACCGCTACGCCACCACTCCCCACACGCATGTACACGCACATTTACATTCACGCCACCTTCATTGTTGTTGATGTGATCGTCGTTCTTTTATCGCTCCTGGTGTTTGGTTATTTAAATAAAGCATTTGGCGATTCGTGCAGATGGCACTGTTGTTGCTGCTGTTGCTGCGAAGGGCACGTGTTATTTATTTTGGCGAGCGCAAAGTTTTACGAACGCGCGGCGCTCACGCGAACTTTTATTTAATCTCAGCCATCTGCAGACCGATGTCCCATAAGTGTGATTTTAAAAGAAGAAAAAGAGGGGGACCGATTTTGCATTTCTTTTGAATCGCGTAATTAATTTTATGCACGCGCAAAAAATATAATTTTCGTTTTAAAAATTAATTAGTTCATTCATTCAATTCCACGTTTTATTCTTCGACCGTGAGATACACAGACGTCGAGGCGCCCAGGGATGTTACTCAAAGTTCAAAACGATGGAAAACGAATTTGAATAGCCGAATAGACAGACGCCCACATTTACATTTGTCTCGGCAAAAAAATATATATTACAGGGAGCCGATAGCCATCTGCCAAGTGACAGACACGATTCAGGACGCTGGTGGGGTGAAACCGCAGAGGAGTCAAGAGCAGCACTTGGCTCGCAATCAGAAGGTTGAGAGTTCAAATGCTGGTCAGAGAGAGAGAGGGAGAGCTCAACTCAGTCGATCATTTCTCCGGTGTCGATTGAAATAAGTGCAACTTCGGGGGGGGGGGGGCGGGGGGGGGGATGGAGAAGTCGGCAGCGGTTATCCTATGGATAAAGTCACCCCTGTCGTAGAAATGTGGAGAATTTCCAGAGCTGGTTCAGGGCTGTAAACAGGAGTTAATCGGTCCGTAAGTTTGTATTTTGGTAATGCCCATTGAATGTTGATGGTGGCCTTGCTCAGGAGGCGAGGACGTTACATGATAATGGAGCGTTTACAAGGGGCTGCATAGAACAAAAACAGGAACAGTTTATAAACATGACTCGTAATCAACCAGAACTATATTCAATGGAAAGTCCAGTCAGCCATCTAAAATCAAATTATGCATGACACAAGTGAGTGGCATTTAAAACTTATTTTACAAAAGCGACGATTGTAATTGCGTTTGCTATCTTAAAATGTAAGTCTTTCCACAAAATGCCATCTGTAGTTCCAGTCACAAATGGCTTCGCTAATTGCATTCACAAAGTGTGAATGAAGTGGTCGTTACCAAGCAGATAGAGATGCCAGGATCAGCAAGTGAACACCACGCTACCATTGAGTGGGAAACCCTCGACCTCACAGCATGTCGTCGGCGCTATCCACTGCTGGATGAGTGCCGCCCCACGCTTGTACAAATACTCTGCGAGAGCGGTGATTCTCAAAGACTTCCGTTTGTTTCGTTTACTTTGTTGTGACTATAGCACCTCTCGTGGCCGCAAGAGTCACGTGATCCCAACACGTGGACAACACATCATTTAGAGACCTTCGTCAATCCGTTGCTGGAGGAATGCCCCCACAAGCCGCGTCGCTCATGGGGAGAGGGACCGGGAGTGGGGGGGGGGCGGCGGTCGTTGGACCGCACTTCGCCAAATAATTGTCAGTTGGTCAAGCGGAGAGTCGCAGGACCTGTTCAGGTATCACTCGGCACTGGTGTTGGCCCGAAATCGAACCTAGGTCGCCGGCTTCATCTTAGCCTAGTTGCTGTCACGTCATTGAACCCCCACCCCCCCCTACAAAAAAAAAACCCCTTAGTTTTGCTATCGATAAACCAGAGAGACTGTGGCCTCTACCAGCATTGGAGATGGAGCGACGAATGACGCCCGTGCGTCAGTGCGCTGGATGCAGTCGCGTCATTGTGACTGCGACGCATGGCGAAGGGGGCCGCGCCGCGAGGCGTTCATCCAGCAGTGGATTGACCACAAACTGGCTGCTGCTGTTGCTGACGATGACGGTAACGACGGGGTGCCATTTGCCCCCATTTTTTGCCGTGCGCGCGTCCTACAGATTCGCGTGGACGGGGCTTGGGAGGGTGGCGCGGTGCTGTACGACGAGCTGCGCGCCTCGCCCGGGGAGCCGCTGCTCCGCGACATGGCGTTCGCGCCCGACCGCCGCCACCTCTACGTCCTCTCCGCGAAGCAGGTGAGAGCTCCCCACGTCCCCTCCCCCCCTTCTCCTTGCCCCTAGCACCTACCCCCACCCCTCCCCCCTCCACATCATGCCCGCCACCCCGAACACGTGTGGCGCTTTAAATGTGTACCCAAGAAGGCTGACCAACCCCTCCCCCCCCGCCACAGCCACCCCTAACAAGTGTGGCGCTTTTAGAAGTGTACCCAATAATCCCCCCTCAACCCCACCAGGACCACACATAGCACCCGTGGCGCTTTTAAAAGTGCACCCAAGAAGCCTGATCGACCCCCCCCCCCTCGCCATAGCCACTCCTAACACGCGTGGCGCTTTTAAAAGTGTACCCAATAATCCCCCCCCCCCCACCAGGACCACACATAGAACCCGTGGCGCTTTTAAAAGTGTACCCAAGAAGCCCGAACCCCCCTCCCCCCCGTCAGGACCACGCATAGCACGCGTGGCTCTTGTAAACTAAACCAGGGTAAGGCCCACTGAGCCTATATCGCTATTTTTTAGAAGCGACCTGGCCACAAATGATCGCTCAACGAAGTGGCTTATCGCGTGGAAACGTATAGCAGCCAAATACTCTAAACGCGTGTTGATTCTAAATGTGGAGGGAGGGGGGAACCGGAGCGACACGGAGAAAAATCCACACGATCACGGTGAGAGACACACGCAAACTCCCAATATACAGCAGGCGTCAGGTTCGGGATTGACCCCACGGCCTCCTGTATACTAGGCGAGGTAGTTAACATCTCCTCGCGATCTTGATGATGATGATGATGAGAGACACCGCAAACTCTCAAAATACAGCAGGCGTCGGGATCGGGATGGAACCCACGCGACCTCCTGTATACCAGGTGAGGTAGTTAACATCTCGTGGCACTCTTTTCAATGTGCACTCAAGAAGTTGGCGTCGTGCAGCCCAGTAGCTCCACTCCTCGTGAAGGGTGTGTGTGGGGGTGGGGGGCGGGGGGGGGATGGGGGTGTGAACTCGACGTTGCCAACTTTTTAGAGCAGAAAGTCACCAAATGAACTTGTCGCTATGCAGACCATCAAAAGTCAACCGGAACATCGCAAGACAAATCACCGAGTGCCACGTGGAGTAGACTCTCAAGAGGATACTTCACACACGCCCGGAATTGCTCGCTGCATCTGCATCACGTCCTCTGCAGTGAAAACCGCTAGATGTGTGGAGCGGTGGCGCAGCAGTTAGCACACCGCGCAATGAATCCCGGCGACGCGAGTTTGATTTTTTTCCGGGCGACGGCTAACATCAGCGGCGAGTGATATCTGAACCGGTCCTCGCTTCACCAACACGCGCTGACCAGCTCTGCTGAAGTACGGTCAAACAACGCCCATGACCGACACGGCATAGTTGAGCACTTCTTGCAGCAGCTCATTGACAAAGGGCTGTAAATTCTTCTCATTCATTTTTCTATTTCATGGGTGCACTCTGTAAATGTGCAAATGACGTGCCCTCCCCACTCACTCTCCACCTCCTGAATTTGCCTCTCCACCCTCATCTGAGTGATTAATTGCCCTTACTTTACCCTGTCCTTGCCTTCGCTCCTAGTTAAAGCCCACGGGATTCCCAATTAATAAGGGTTTCAGTGAAGGGGATGTTTGAGTAACGCTTCTGAAAGCCACTTCCGATGCGGTTAGCCCAAATCCTTGTTGCCAATTAAATTTCCTCCGCTCCTCCGCCACCTCCCTCTATCCATCCTCACTCCAAAACAGGAACAACCAGAGAGAGAGAAACACATCTGCCACATGTGTCATCTACACGACCTTCATCAGGCACCGTTAGCCTTGATTTATCCACTGCTGGATGAACGTATACTCAAGCCTTACACTGCAGTCTACAAGCGACCCGTAATTTATTCAGTCACGTGTGATTCTGTGGGTTTTGTGTTAGACCGTGGGTCGTGTGTTCGTTTGTGGGCTTTTGCTGTAGTCTATAGACGCTGTGTTAGTCTATGGATCCATTATCGTCTATGGTTCCTGTGTTAGTCTAAGGGGCGTGTGTTATAGTATATTGGTCCAATGTTAGTCTATAATCACTGTGTTAATTAATGGGTCCTGAGTCAGTCTATGTGTTCTGTGTGAGTCTCTGAAAATTGTGTTAGTCTACGGGTCGTTATGTGTAGAGTTTCTAGGTGATACAGCTCACATGGAAGTTTATAGATCATACACAGCATTTTTATTTTACCATGGAAGGCCCACTGAGCTATATAGCTTTTTTCAGAAGCAAACAAGCAACATGGCCACATATGATAGCTCAACGAAGTGGCTTATCATGTGGACATGTATAACAGCCAATACTCTAAACGCGTGTTTCTAAATGTGTAGGGGGAAAAAAACGGAGGACCCCGAGAATAAATCTAGGTGACCACGTGCAAGAGAGACACGCCAACTACAAATTAACAGGCGTCAGGTTCTGGATCGAAACCACGACCTCCTCCATACCACGCGAGGTAGTTAACATCTCGCCACGTGCCACCGCCTGGTCTCCCAGCTCTGGACAGCGGCGGCCAACCGTACACCGCGCGGCCCTCTCAATTAATGGTGCTGGAGACAAAGGGGACCCTTGGTCCACTTCACGGCAATCGATCGGGGGGGGGGGGGGTCTGTTGGAGGTGGTGGTGGGGGCAAATGGGACGCGTCGCTGCAGTGCTTAACAGCTCGGGCTACGACCGTTACTGCTGAGCTGGCCGTAATTTACTGCATTGATTTCAGTTTTTTGTAACTGTTGCAAATTTTGTCGAGTACCTCGACTCCCCCCCCCCCCCCCAATAATGTGTGTGGGTTGCTCGTAGAGAAGTGCGTGTCGTGTGCGGGGGAGGCCTTCGTCCAGCACTGGATTGAGCAATTGTACCTGATGATGATGAGCCCTCTCGCGAAGAGCATCAGTCGAATTGTGACCCTTCCACGTCGAGTTTTTCGACACAGTCGCCCTGTGTATTGACACTCGCGCGACGTCAACGAAGAAACGAACGTCCCGTAAAAAAAACTAAAATCCTTTCGAAAATATGTTTTGGTCGCTAACGAACAAAAAAACAACGCCGGGCCGCTGTGATTAATGGGGAGGGCAGCGGAGTGGGGGGGGGTTAGAGGCCACGTCCGGTGCAGCCTCGACTCTGAGCGGCTGCACCGATGGGAGAGGCAAGGGGGCCACGCTGGGGGGATTGGATTTGCCGAGCGAGAGAGGCCGGATTGTTTGTCGCCTGTACCGCGGCGCGCCTCCGTGATTGAACGGAACAGGCCAATACGGGCCCCGGTTAAGTGAATTCTTCCCTCTCGCAGCTGACCCAGGAGCTGACATCGCAGTTAATGTTTTCCGCAGGATGTTTGGGCGGTGAATTCGGAATCAAGCGTGCGCGTTTGTGACAGTGTGCGCCGGTGTGTGTAGGTGCGTGCGGTGCTCGCTAACAGCACTTGGCCCCCATAGCCTGTTAAAGGCTATACGGGCTATCTTTGTCTTTGTGGTGTGTGTGTGTCGGAGTGGGAGTGGTCGTGCAGCAGTTTGCGCGCTGCGCTGCAAACCCGACCGACCACCCGCGTTCGATTCCTGCTCACGGTCACCAACACCGGTGGCGATTATCTGAACCGGTCCTAGGCCTTACCTAGGTCGACTCAGTCTCAAATGAGTACCTGGTGCGGTGTGTAAACATCGCCACTAGGGAGACAAAGGCGGTCGGGCGTGGTGCTGGCCTCCCACCCCCCCCGTGTGCCGTAACGGCCTTCATAGGTGCTCGCTAACAGCACTTGCCCCTACAGTCCGTTAAAAACTATAGGAGGTCTTTGTGCTGTGCGTGTGTTGGGGGAGTGGTAGTTTATCGGTTAGCGAACGGTCCTACGAACCCAACGACTCGCGTTCGATTCCCGCTCACGAATCAGCCTTAACTCACTACCTGGTGCGGCGTTTAGAACAATAGCACTGGCGAGACAAAGGTGGCCGGGCGTGGGAACGTGCTATTTCTGAGCGCTTAATGGTAGTCGGAATAATAACGATGTTTGTTTACCCAGGGAAGCCTCACGACGTCAAAACATTGTTTCTGAAGAACGGCCCAGATTCTGGTTGTTTGGCCAATGCCATTCATAAGTGTCTGGCGTGTGGGAAGAACGGCGAGAAAACCCCGCGCGTGCGACGGGGATAACACTGGAAGATGAACAAGGACATATTCAAGAATGCATCTCCTGTACCGCGAAAACCCCATTGATCTCTTGGCCACCTCGCAAACGCAATCGAGAGAGAGAGAGGGATACTCGTGCGGACATTCGCGCGCGCGTGCCCGTGTACACGCGGGGCATTAATCAGACCCGCCCACAGCTAACAGCGCAGCAAAAACAAACAACCGCGTTTAGACAAAGGCGCAGGCGAAGAATGAAGTTAACGACTTAATGCATTGGAAGCACTTGCGTTTTGTCCACCTATCAATCGATTCATTCACTTGAGCGCGTGTTTACTCCACGGATAACGAGGCCTGACTCATTACTGACGCACTTTGCGTTTTCTAAAACAATACCGGGCACCGCTCCCTCCTCCGCTCCCTCGTCCACGCGCTGCAATCATAATATTTGTTACTTTTCGGAAGCTACCCAGCGCTAGAAGGAAATGTGCTAATGGAATGAGGCGTTGCGTAGCCGTTGCATGTGTGGGTGAGGCTCTGCCGACGAGTGGGGAGAATGCGTAGGAGCGGCGGGGGGGGGGGGGAGTCGAGCGGAGAGAATGTTTGTAGGAAGTGGGATTTAGTGGGGGGTGGCGGGGGGGGCGCAGTGCGGGGGCGGGGGCAGGAGGCGATATTTCACTTGGAAGATGAGAGCGTGACCCCCCGTTCTGCTGGTCGTATTTAACCTGTGACCTCTGTCTTTTAAACAGCTTGACCCTCGACAAAGGACTTTGACCTCGCCGCCCCCCCCCCCTCTCTCCCCCACGACCTCCAGCCGTTGGAAATTGCACCCGTTGAGTAATTTCCCCAACAGTGGAGCGAATATAAATATAGAAAATAAAA